TTTAGTAATTTTGGGATCCTGAGTATAAAATTCTACAGTATTTTGGGGTTAGAATGACTCGCCTCCTAAAACTCTGGATACAGAATCCAGAGAATTTGTGTACTGCGCGTTTCAAATGTTTGGTATGGATTTGACGCCGGACGCGATCTGGACAACATTATCGTATCCAGATAAGACATTTGCCCCAGAGACCTCGGCCACGATGTAACACCAGTTACCTGTGTCTTAGCTCGAACAAGTGCATCCGCGATGAAAATTCAGAGAGGCATTCGAGAGAAATCTGGCGAGGTCACACCATTCAGCTACCACGCGGTAGTTCACCGAATCGAACATGATAGAGCCCCATAACACCGGTGTATTTGTTTGCCAATCTTTCTTCAAACTCGCCAACGTAGTTTAAACAGCACAATGTGGCTGACTGTTGCACGATATCCGCCCTGGTTTGGAAGCGGTCGTCACGATTGCTGGAAGTGGTGGCTGAAGATGATGATGCAAGCGACCTGTTCGTCTCGATCATGTCGATGATGGGTGGGTGCGTTGAAAAATTCTCTCTAGCGCAGACAATATCTTGCGAGCAGAACGCTCGTGCAGATCACTACATCCAAGCCACAGCAATGGCAAACCTATGAGGCAGACTTTCGATGTCTAGCGTATCAACTATTTCACACTGTCAGTTGTCCAGCTCCACAGTATAAAATGCATGCTCAATTCCAAACATTTATGGTTCAGTCCCTCATCCTCTTAACTATTCCTTTGGACTGAATGCTGGACCCTCCTCCCCAGGCCTTCTTCCTGCCTTCTCTTAGATGATCACTTTAGGGTCCTGCTTCACCTCCTCCAGTAGCTCCTGAGCCGTACGCAAGTGAACATTGGGGAAATGCTCGACTCGGTCACGCTTGACTTTTTCCTGATCAAACGTGCACCTCCCAGACGGCACGAGCATCTTGAATTCGGCCAGCAAGGCAGCTTGTGGTGACTCTTTCTTTTCCAACGCCGCCTTAATCTCGTCGATGGGCTCGAACGACACCTTGAGGTCCGACACGCCACCGACCGTTTTCACCAGCTCGGCCAGTTGCAGCCACGTCGTTTGCATGCCTTGGACGTAGGTGTACGGGCGCCACTTGTTGGTACTTTTCAGGAGTTCTGCGATCACCTTGGCCACATCACGAGCGCTGGTCGTGGAGAACACGTCGTTGCCAGTGCCCGGAATGGTCATGGTTCGAGATTCCAGATCGAGCGGGTGAAAAGGACCGGGGTTGGGGTGGTTCCGGTTTGTACTCGGGACGATGTAGTCCATGACCCACCCAAGCGAAATGAATGTCCACTCCACCTCGGTCTGTGCCCTGAGCGCTTTCTTCAGCGGCACGTTATGCTGATCCATGGACTCGCCTTCCTCCGGGAAGTCCTCCGAGTTGCCACCATATTCCGCCGGAATGAAGCGCTTGCACTTGGGCGACTGCTTGCACGCCTCTAGCAGCGTCAGGTGGA